CTCTTCTTCCTCAGCCCAGTCCTGGTCCCTTATGGAGGTAGAGGGGACTCCCTGAAGCCATGTGCTTTTTTTTTTTTTTTTGTCTTTTTGAGACAGAGTCTCACTATGCAGCTCAGGCTGAGCTTGCACTCACTTTGTAGCCCAGGCTGGTCTCAAACTGGTACAGACCCTCCTGCCTCAGCCTCCTGAGTGCTGGGATTACAGGCAGTGCTGGGATAACGGGCAGTGCTGGGCTTACAGGCATAGGCCAGCACACCCAGCCTCCTGTGCTCTTTGCACCGGTCCTCTCTTCCTCCCCTGGGAATGCAGCTGAAAGCCAGGAAAAGACTCGCTCCTCAGCCTAGTGCTGCTGCTGAGGTAGACATCACAGACTGCAGTCACCGAGTCTGGGGAAGGATGTGGGGAAGAGGCCATCTTGGGGTGAAAGCCATCAGCTAATGCTCTGAAATAGCATCATCCTAAGCTGGACATAGCTCAAAATCAAGCATGCCAAGAGCAGGAAGGCTGCTCAGGGGCGGCCCTGCAGGAGGTGAGGTTTGGACCTGGAACACCTGGAGTCCTTTAGCACGCAGACAAAGCTGGGTAAGCCGGAGAGGACAAGTTCATGTTGCCGGAGCACAGAAGCAGGGCTGTGCCCCGCGAGGGCACGCACATTCTGGGACTGGGGAGAGGAGCACAACACGTCATCTGTAATTATTAACACAAAGCAGGCTCCCGCCTGTGCCTGAACAGGCCCAGGCCCAGAGCTCAGGACGGCCATGCACTGATGAACCCAGTTGCCTCCTGCCTGTGACCCTCCGCAGCCTGCGCATCCCTGTTTCTTGTTCATTTCCTACATGAAACGACACGGATCCCCAGGAGAAGCCAGGTATTCGTGGGTGGCTGTCAGGACGCCTTCTGCCAGCAGCTCCGGCCAGTGCTGGGCTCTGGCCCTTGCTGTTCTGGGGGACAGGAAGTGACCCCAGGGTCTCTGGTGTGGAGAAGATCACACCGTGTCTGCCTGCAGGTGACAGGGCACCAAGATCCCCCCAAGCTCAGCTGCCTCAGTGGGCCCCGAAAGACAGAAAGCAGTACAACGGCTCGGTGGGCTCCGTGGGCCGTGACCCGCACACAGTGGAGATGTGGCCCTGTCAGGTGACACTGTCCCCGCCTGCCTTTGTTTTTGGGCACCTGCTTATTCCGGCTTCTCTCTGGAGAGGTGACTTGGGAGAAACCAGGATAATTGGACTCAAAGGAGAGCCGAGTTGCAGGGCTGAGGCTTAAATGCTCTGACAAAATAAGTTTTTTCATATCGTGTTTACTGCAAAACTTCACTTTAAAGCTGCCTTGTAACCAGGCACGGGGCGCTCTTGTAACGCCAGTACTCAGGAGGCGGAGGCAGGATTGCCGGCCCAGGCACACAGTGCATTGTTCAAGGTCAACCTGAACTACACAGCAAGACTCCCTGTGCAGCCCAGGCTGGCTTGGGGCTCTCCAGGACCCTCCTACCTCAGCCTGCGGAGGGCTAGGATTACAGGTGGGTGAGGGCCCCCAGCCCCCCTCTTCTCTCCCCTCCCCACCCCTGCATGGCTTAGTTAGGAGCTGAGTTTGGTTAAGTATTTTGAATAACCGCCCTGGGTGTGGACCCAAACCAGATTGGATTCCAACCAGCGCGTCTGGGCAACCATGTGCCAATTTAAACACAGGGACACGGACAAGGGACGCCAGACTCTGCCCAGCCTCAGGCCCTGTGCTTTTGGGCTCTGGCTGTGACATCTGCAGGCAGATGAGGCTGGGGGAGACCCAGGAGGGAACCCCAGGGGCTCCTGGCTGAGATGGGGCTTGGAAAACAGAGCAGACAGACCTGCCTGAGGAAAAGGGTCCTGCTGGCCACAGCGACACAGACCTGCAACCCCAGCTACTCAGGAGGCTGAGGCAGGAGGTTCGCAAATGCCAGGCCAGCCTGGACAATCTAATGACGCTTGTCTCAAAATTAAAAAATTAAAAGGGCTGGAGTGTCTCTGCCCTAGAGTGCTTGCTTAGCACATACAAGGCCCTGGCTCAACTTCAGCACGGGAAAAGTGAAGATTCATGTATGCGCCATCAAAGCCGCGTGACCAAGCCAGCCCCCAGCGTCCGGCGTGAGTTCCTTAGCTGTAAACTGGACATCAACATGCAAGTTAGCAAGTCAGCTGGGGAAGCCAGCTGTGCTGGAGCTGAATAAGGAAGAATCCCATCAAAGAGCATAATTAGGCACAGGTGCGTCTTTCCTTTTGCGGCAGGCAGGGGTTTGAAATGGGGTCTCACTAAGAAGCCCTGGCCAGCCTGAAATTTGCAGCAATCCTCCTGCCTCAGCCTCCCAAGCACTGGATGACAGGCACTACTGGCCTCTGCTCTTGATTCTTGAGGCTGCCCTGAGGGCAAGCTCTGTTCCCATACTTGGGCTTTCCAGAGATCCAAGCAGGGTCCAGAAAAACAGGTCTCTCATCCCCAGCTGCACGATTCTCCAGCCTCCCTGTCATCTGAGAACCAAATAAGGCAACACCCGCCAGGCAGGCTGGGTGGGGGGGCGCTCCTCCCGCCTGAAGTCAGAAGGGGGTTAAAGTTTGAGCACCGAGCAGGCGCCCTGTGGGAGGGAGGGCAGGGCCCAGTAACTCATTCCTGGGGTGGAGCTGGAAAACAGCAGACCTCTGTGGTCACCAGGCTCCAGGAGCAGATGCAGGCTCCAACCTCATCCTTGTCCTTTATGCACCATGTGACTGCGGCAAGTTAACTCATTTCTGTGTCCCAGTTTCCTTTTTTTTTTTTTTTTTTTTTGGACCATTTGTTTTACATGTGACTGTTACATATTATAATTAAGGTAAATTCCAGGAAAAAAAAAAAATACACTCTGGGTAAAAATTAGTGAGGGGAGAGGAGACAGAGAATCCTCCTTTTCCTGGGGCAGGAAAGCAGACTCGCCCAAGGATGAGTACAGAAATTGACAGACTTCTTCCGGAGGCCAGACCAGGAGAGACCAGGTCACCCCCGGCACTGACGCAAGCTGATGAGGCCCTGACTTCAAAGTTTAAAGTTAAATCATGGCTTAGGCTTTTGCTTTTTCAGACAGAAACTTGCTATGTAAATTCAAGCTGGCCTCGACTAGCAGTGATCCCCCTGCCTCAGCCTCCCAAGGCCTGGATTACATATGCACCTCTATGCTCAGCTCAAATTAAAGAAAAAAAAAGTTTAAATAACATAAAGGCTCTGAAAAGAATTAAAAAAAAAAAAAAGCAAAAAAGCAAAACTCAAATGAATTGCTTGTTTATGTTGTTTTGCTGTGCTGGAAAGTTAACCATGCCTAATCTCATGCATGTTAGGCAAGAGATTTAGCCCAAGACTTTCATATGAGTTTTTTAAGTGCATAATTCTTATTGGGAAAATGTCTTATATTAGAAGTTCTGTCTTAAAAATAAGTACTTATGAAATACAGAAAATATAAATGAAAGCTATAATAAAGATGTGTTGCATATATTAAAAAAAAAAAAAAGAATGAAGGAAAAAAGAGACTACAGAAACAAATACCTAGACTGGGCCTGGTGGCGCATGCCTGTAATCCCAGCACTTGGGAGGCTGAAAACAGGAGGATCACTGAGTCTGAATAGTGAGATGCTGTAGACCCTGCACCAAATACAAAAAAGAAAAAAGAAACAAATAATTTAAGTTAAAACAAGTCCTCAACTGTCTTCCATCTAAATGTTACCATTCCGTTTTGGTTGGTTGGGTTTTTGGATTTTTTTTTTTCCTGTATTTGGTACAGGTTGGACTCCTAGTAATCCTCCTGCCTCAGCCTCCGGGGTGCTGGGATTACACCCATGCACCAACACACCTGACATCATTTACTGGTTTTTTGTTGTCTTTTTGAGACAGGGTCTTGCCACACAGCTCAGGCTGCCCTTGAGCTTACTTTGTAGGCCGGGCTGGTCTGGAGCTCTCAAGGATCCTCCTGCCTCAGCCTCCAGAGTGCTGGGATTACAGGCCCACACCACCACATCCCGATTGCTTAGGCCCCGCCTCAGCCTTCCAGATGTTGCCCAGAAACTCATATACCTTTTAAAACCATACTAATAGGTAAGACTGCAAAAGAAAATACCAAAGCAAGATAAAAAATAAAGGATCAGCATATCGTGCAGCTAAGGGAGAGTGAACTCCAAGTACCCGCCACTGTTTTTGAGACAGGGTCTCCCTATGTAGTTTAATCGGACCTGGGATCGTCCTGCCTCAGCCTCCCCAATGCTAGGGTAACAGGCGTGTGACCCCACACCAGGCTAGTTAACTGCTTTTCACAAGAGCAGATACAACTACATTTTGCACTAAACCGGACTATCCTGGGGGGACGGGACCAGTCTGGGGGGCAGAAGCCAGACTCCCCGGCGGGCCCGTGGGGCCGAGGGGCAGGGGTGACGCCCCGCACCCACCAGCCTGTGCCCCACGCGACACAGCGGCCACGCCCAGGCGCCCCTCGGGGTGTGCTCGGAAGCGGCGCCCCGCGTTCTGCAGCACCTTCCCGTTCCCGCTCCGGCTAAGGTGGTCGTGGCCAGCCCCGGGCGTTGCCTGTGCCAAGAGCAGGGCGAGGCGGGAAAGCCGTGTACCGCACGCCCACCGCCCGCCGCTCCCGGGAAGTCAGGGCCTCTGCCCGACCCCTAATGGCGCTGGTCAGCGTCCGCAAGTAACGCCCACCGGGGCGCTGCTCTCCAACCGCAGCACGGGCGGCGGGAAGGAGAGCGATCTGCGCGATCGCAGACGGCAGACGCCCGCGGGGCGCCGCAGAGGACGCCAGCCGCGCGACTGGGGGCACGCGGAATCCCCAGGCCCCGCCCACCGGGCGGGACGTCCGGAGCGCGCTCCCCGCGGCCGCGACTCTCGTAGCGGCTATAGCCTCTACGTCACGGCCTTTGCGGCCTCTCATTGGACAACCTCTGCCTTCACGTGACATCAGCACAGCGTATAAATAGCGGCAAGGGGAAGGCGGTGGTCCGCCATTTCGTGGACGCCGGGTAACTGTGTGTGTGTGTGTAGACGGGCTGAGTTGGAGTTGGAGGGGAGCGAGAAGATCCTCTGGGCGCGTGTGGTTTTGAACCTCCGCATTTCTAACCCCGGATCTCGGTAAGGTGCCGGCGAGGGCGAGAGGGAAGTGGAGCGGAACCGGAGCCGAGGCGGGGCCGGGCCCCATGGCGGCGCCAGAATGAGACAAAGAGGCGCCGCCGCCATTTTGTGACGTTCGGCCCAGGGCGGTGGCGGGGGCTCCCAGGCCGGAGACGGGGTTCCTGGGTGCAGGGGGAGGCGGTGTTCCCCCGGCTGTAGGGGTGAGTGCGGGAGAGGAGTCCGAGTTGGGGAAGGAGAGGGGGCCTCGTAGCTGGAGTGTGACTCGGGACTGCGTGCGGCCTTTGAATTTTATGGCGCCTTTTTTTGGACGCGGGGGGGGGGGGCTCGTTTTCTTGGAACTTTTTCAGGATTTTGATTCAGTAGCGAAGGCTGAGCGTTTCGGTCCATCCTTAGAGGCATTCATCTATGTCCCTATGTTTTAATTTGATTTTTTTGCGCCCTGAATCTCCAGTTCTTTTCCTTCATGTAAACGGGCCGAAGTTGAATTACACTGGCTTTAGAGCTGCTTTTGGTGTTTTTCGTCCTGTTTTTACGGAGTTGAGCCTCTTACTCCCTGGGCCCAGAGTGGGGTCGCCATAAATAGGATGTGTTTGAGCTGGGTTAGATCCGGAAGAGGGTAAGAATGTGGTTCGTGCCCATAAGCAGCCAGGCGCGGCCTTTCCAGTCTCTGACCACCATGATCTTTGAGTCTTTGGGTGGGTTTGTTTATTGTGCATATTTCAAATTTTATGGAATTATATAAAGTGTGTACTTTTCTTCTTGGCTTAGTATAGTATTTTCAAGGTTTTCTTGCTTTGTGCTGCTTGGCAATATTTGGTTCTTTTGAATACCATAGCATTGTGTTGAACATTTATTTAATGATTTTTGGCTGTTGTAAATAAGGCAGCCCTGATGTTGCTTTGGGTGCGGGTTGCATGCGACCAAACCTGGGTCTTGTGCGTTTTCTACAAATGCTCTGCCACTTGTCTCGAGATTTCATTTTTAAGAAAATGGACTTTTTGGTACGTTTTTACTCCCTGAAAAGTTGATGCGATGAGTAACGTGGTAATTGGTATTGGTCGGTGGAAAAGCAAGGTCTGTGAAATCCAGTCAAGGAAATGTAAAGTCAAAATTGGGGCCTCATTTTAGTAAACCGGAATAAAAGTTTTGCTTCATCAAGGAAGCTTCCGTATCCAAAGTGTGGCTTGTCAACAGATGGTTATGTATGGGCCATTTGTCTTAACACTCAGCTGAACTTGTTTTATATGTTGAGGAAAGATGAGGTCTCACTACTTAATTCTGGTTAGCTTAAAACTCACCAGGTAGCCCCAGCTGGCCTTGAATCTGAGGCTTTCCTAACTTTCAAATGTTTTATTTTGAGGGTATTATTTTCTCAACTTGGCTGGTTTTCAGGGCTTTTAGTAGAAATAAATGGAAATGGATCTTTTGAGTACTACTTCTGATTTGTTATTTAGTGTTGTGTAATTTTTTAGGATTTGCTTTAACTGTACACTACTTGGATGAAGATTTTGGTGTCTTTTGTTACAGAGATGCATCGTGATTCCTGTCCATTGGACTGTAAGGTGTACGTAGGGAATCTTGGCAACAATGGCAACAAGACGGAGCTGGAACGGGCTTTTGGCTATTATGGACCACTTCGGAGTGTGTGGGTTGCTAGAAACCCTCCTGGCTTTGCTTCCCTTGAATCTAAGGATCCCCGAGATGCAGCGGATGCTGTCCGTGAGCTAGATGGAAGGTAATGTAATAAATGTTATGCCCCCATTTTTTTCCCCTAAAAACAGAGTCTCACTTCATGGTCCAGGCTGTCCTTGAACTTGCTGTGTAGTCCAAGCTGGATTCAAACAATCTTCTGTTTCTTTGAGTGTTGGGATTATGGGTGTGCACCATGGAGCCCAATTTATGCCTCAGTCTTTTTAAGTAATGGATGTTGACTTTCTCTGTTTCTTCTTGGCTTCATTGAGGGTGGGGTTTTTTGGTTTGTTTTTGTTTTTCTGGTTTTCTTGAAGGGTCTCACTACTAGATCAGACTTGTGGTGATCCGCCTGTTTACAGCCTCCCAAGAGCTGGGATTACTGGCACCACCACGCCCAGTCTCAATTGCCAGCACACCAGGCCCAGGGATCAACCCCCCAGCCCCAGCTTGCAAGTGCCTTAATCTATTGAGCTATTTGGCCAGCTTTTCATTGAGTTATGGAATCTAGGAAAATCTGTTAGCCTGGGAGATCCAAAAATAAAATTTTGCTTTCAGAATTTGGGCAGCAGGGCACAGTGAGTTAAAGGAAGAGTTGGCTCTGAAGCTGTGTGAACAGCTGTTCATACATACAGGTTACAGCAGTGGTTTTCTGGGACTTGCCTGCTCCGTTCCCCTAGCAAGGTATCTAAACACGGTTATGGGTGAATGGAGGGGAGAGGTATAGCTGTTTTCTGCTTGTAATTTCCGATTGCCAAATAACTAAGCAGTGGTTGGGGAGAGGGAATGTAATTGGGCAAAATGTCGTGTGTTTTATTTATTGGAAGCAAGCAATTTATAGAGAAGAGGCAGAAATTCAACATAGGAGCAAATAAAATGTAATGATGGAGCCACAAGACAACTGGTGGTGCACTTAACACTTAGAAACTATTAAAGTTCAACTGAATTGGATTCTTCTAACAGAAAGTAAAAATGTCTTGTGAACGAGTGCTTTTATACAAATCCCATTTTATATATTTGAATAAGTGGGGTCAGTGCTGTGCCATTTTACACAGCAGAACTGTAAGGGAATTAAAACTTGTATTAAAGAGTCTGCAGGTGTATGGTTGTATTTTCTGCAAAGTAGCTATTCACTGTTTTGCTTTCACGTACATCTCAGGAGATCTGATTTTACACATCTAACGGCTTTCCCCCTAGAACATTATGTGGCTGCCGTGTCAGAGTGGAACTATCCAATGGTGAAAAGAGAAGTCGAAATCGTGGCCCTCCTCCTTCTTGGGGTCGGCGCCCTCGAGATGATTATCGCAGGAGGAGTCCTCCACCTCGCCGCAGGTACTTGAAAGAGAGCGCGTTTTAGAGGTATTGGTATAAAGGAGTAGCTAGTAGGAGCAGGTGTTTCTCCTGAAGTTTGTTGGTGGGTTTTAAACTTTGAAGAATGAGAGGTTTCTACAAAACTGGCTGGGTGTAGTTTGGGGTATGTGAGTTGTGCTGAGTGTTGGCTTTTGTCTGTAGGTCACTGTTCTGTTGGTAGTTAGTAACTTCTGTCTTGGACCTATCTTCTAGTTCATCTTATAGTTGCGTCTTTCCCAGTCTTCCCCTGATACTTCAGTTTAGGCCTTTTTTCCATTTCTTGATTCCATTATGACAAACATTACATTCAAGTCTAGCTCTTCACGAAAATGTTATTTTCTATTGGAACAATTGTAATATTTATCAAACTGGCAGCTGTTTTAATGTTACAACTGGTAAAGTAGAAATTCTGAAACTAAAGTCACTGACCAATAAAGGGAGTAAAAGTAAAAAAGTAATCCCAGTCATCTGTTCTTCAATCCCAAATAGGAGAGAATTCAGTTTTTTTTATAATTGAAAGTGACATCGTTCTTGGACCAGGCAGTATTGTCTTGGTGCTAATACCACATCTCCTGAAAACCTCCAAAATAATTTCTATAGGACTAAATTACCTCTTACAGGTGAGTGAAGTCCTAGGAGATGAGTTCAAAATCTTGCCCCTTTTGCTGTTTTGAAAAAACACACTGTTGCCCATCATGATGAAAAGTATTTGTTAGCTAAATAGATGGTTGTACTGATGGCTTGTTTTTTTTTTTTTTTTTTTCATTTTTTTGTGCTTTTTGGTCCATCTATTAATAAAAATGAACCCCGTTACAGAGTCACCATCATGTCTCTTCTCACCACCCTCTGAATCTGCATTAGCCAGTCAACTAGCCCTTTCAGCGTCATGTGACCAGCGCGCCCCATTCAGCTTGGCTGGTGTCGTTTCACATGACCCAGGCTGGCCAGTCGTCAGGTTGCACCGCCCTTTGGTTCCCGAGCATGCTGTTTTCTCTCAGCCTTCTCTCCAACCTTAACCAAATCGGCAGCAGCCACCTCGACCGCCCACACATTCCTGGCCAATCAGCTCAGCTGTTTATTTACCAAATGTCTTCACAACAACTACAGCAGCAGCCTTCGGCTAACAAAAAAGCAGGAAAAATCCACAACACCCCCTTCGCCAACCAACTAAATCCAACGCAACATCTGGCAAAACCTTTTCAGCAAATTCTTCCTGGCCGTCAGTCCGGCAGCCTCACCTCACCATTTCTAGCTTGTTGAAACCCAAAACTAGTAAGTTTTTCCTGCTTATACAGTTTACTGCTGGTTAAAATAAGGAGTAAGCGGCTTAAAAGTAATTCTTTCTCTGGATCAAAGGCTGGCTGTGCATAATTGAATGGTAACGTACATATATGTTGCTTGAAAAACTTTTAAGGGTGATAGGGAACTGGTAACGATCTTCAGTAAAACTTATTTGCATGTGTGAGATGCCAAACTAAAAAATTTTAATATCTCTAACAGATTTTAGCTTTTCTTCCCAGCAAAAATTTGTTGAATCCTATCACCTTTAAATGGTTTTTACTAACAGTTTTTGAAATTTTGGGGGAGAAGTGTGGGCCAAGCTAAGGTAATTTTGATAAGCCTAAACACTTAAATGGGACGATCACAAATGCAGCTGTAATGTAGCACTAAATGGCATCGATATTGACACCCACAGCATTTTCACAAAATTACACTCCACCTGGTACCTGAGTCTTGTTATATAGACTTACAGGTTTGCATGGGTTCCAAATACGGGTTTATAGTACTGTTTTTGGAACTACCTGTGGGACTACATTTTGGTGTGGTGTTTGGGTAGCAGAGTTAGTTTGACATGAAGTTTTGCATTGGACAGATCTGCTGTGAAGCATTGTTAAAATGAATCCATGGTTGGAATACCTGCTTTTCACTCAAGCTTTTGTTCTTAATCCTTCTGTGCCTTTTATTTCTTTTCTTTTTTTATTTTTGGACGATGGGTGCCTGTTCTTCGGCACATTCACTGGGCCCAACAGTGAGATTGAAAAGTTGGGAATTGCCTCACGCCATAAATGCTAATTGATGATTAGTCTAATTTTCCCATTTCTGCTTTTAGATCGCCACGAAGGAGAAGTTTCTCTCGCAGCCGGAGCAGGTAAATACTGTTTTGGGACTACTCTCGGGACTGTTCTCTCAGGCACATCAGATGCTCCTGAGATGTTTTCTGAATGCTGTGCTTGGTGACTGTAGTGAATCCAGTGGTGTGTATACAGCTGATGTTAAACTGCAGAATGGGACAGGTTTTGAGTTTTCAAAGACTTTAAAGATATTTTTGCTAGATATAATAATTACTGAGTTGTCTTGACTTTCTCTTTGTGGTATAGGTCTCTTTCTAGAGATAGGAGGAGAGAGAGATCACTGTCTAGGGAGAGAAATCACAAGCCGTCCCGATCCTTCTCTAGGTCTCGCAGGTAAGGTTTCTTGACCTATTAATAAGATCGTAATGTATAAGTTCTGTTTGGGAGGCCATAAAGTTGCTATTGATGTCCTTGAGTGTTGGCAAGTTACAGAGTTTGATTGTTTTGTTTTGTTTTATCAGCCGATCTAGGTCAAATGAAAGGAAATAGAAGATCAGTTTGCAGGAGAAGTGGTGTACAGGAATTAACTTCACTGACGGGAGTATGTACAGAAAATCCACGTTTTGTTTGAGACTTCATAAGCTTGATGCGTTTTTAAGATGTTTTAGCTGTTCACCTTTGTGTCTTGGAACAGTGACACAACAATGTAATTCTCTCTGGTTTGAGATGGATCACACAAGGCATGTAATACCAAGAATTGTTACTTTACAATGTTCCCTTAAGCAAAATTAAATTTGCTTTGAACTTTAGTCTTGCACAGACTGAAAATAAACCTCTAAGCTCTGCCTAGTTCAAGTGTGATGTTCTAATGTTCCAGAAACAAAACTGGCAAAAATTAAACAAGACCTGTTTCATAGCTGAGATAACAGTGTACAGGTGTGCGACCAGGTACAGAGAAAGGCCACACGCAAAACTAGGTGAGCGTGGTTTTAAAAATGGAACCAGTCTTTATCCTGGGCAAAGGTTTCCTGGCTGGTATGGAATCAGGTAAATTTCAAGAGTTCACCTCTGCTAGATCACAGACGTTCCTTCTGTGATGCTGCCTACAAGTACATAGCTGTTTGGATCTTTTATTTGGAAACCTGAGACATCACAAAGGATCAGTGTCCTGCCGGTTTAAGGGTACATTGTAGAGCTGAACTTTTGCGTTACTGTGCAAGACTTTTTCATGCTGTCATTTGTAATATGTTTTGTGAGACTCTTTGGGATTAAAGTTTTGGTTACAAATTGTTATTTAACTTGGAAGCCTGTTTTTCCTTGCAAACTCAAAAATATAGCTTGATACCAAGTCCAGATAAAACATTCCTATTGGAAGCCATACTTATATTTTCTTGTAAAGTGCTTTTGAATTAATAAAACGGCCTAATTGTGTAATAGTCAGTTGAACCCACTGTTAGCATTTTCTTAATTCCATGGAAAGCCATTGGTTTACACAATTCTGAGTTCACAACAGTCACACCTGACACAATATGGGTTGATCCTCCAGTGTGAAGAGGACATCTAAGTGATTAGAGATTGCCCATTTTGTAGGAATTGAGCCAGTTTAGGGTCCATTATACTTAGTGACTAACATTTTAAATTTAGTAAGCAGCAACCTTGTACATTGTAACCCAGAAGTTACCCCTAAAGCTTTTATCTTCAGCATGAAAATTCTCAAGTTTAAAAAATTGCTTCCATTTTATAATTTTTGAGATGTTGCATGGCAATTCCAAACTGATGCATTGTGTAAAATTTTCACAGTAGTACAAATGTAACAGTGCAGAACAACATGGAAGCATGCATAACCTTCCTCATAGAAATCTGGAAGAGCTGTAATTTCAAATTTTTTTGTGCAAGTAGATTAAATCATAATGCAACAGTCTCGTGGCTTAGTTTCCTTAAATGTGCTCCATAGTTATGAATCTGTATTGACAGTTACAAGAACTAAGTCATTGCCCTGAGGTAATCGGAGTTCAGGTACCCTGTAGGCCCCAGAGGTTCTTCCCATGGTCCTGTTAGCCATTCACACCTCAGCAGGACAGCATGTGTTTCAAGAGATTCAGTGTCTGCAGCAACACATTTTAAAGAAAAAACATAGAAAACATTTTTTTTAAAGACTCCTGTTGGTTCATTAGGACCTCTTTTGAGTTTTTTCTGTCCTGTACCGTTTACCTATAGCCTAAAACCTTGTCAGGAACCGGCCAGGGTAGCTAAGAAGTTGGTGAAACAAGGTGACTTCTGGATTACACTGCATTTGGAAAACGTGTGCTACAACTAGCAGATTGTAAGGAATTTAGAATCTGAGATAAAAGTGAACCTTGTGCTCCTGACGTGTTAATTTGTAATCAGTTCGATAATCCTGGGTATGACTCTTGCAGCTAGTGAAAATGGTTAAAAGCCTTAAGTGACAGGCCTTTAGATGGCGGCTCCTAGCCCAGTCCTGCCCTTTCTGGTTTGGGTGTAGTGTGGAAAGGAATCCTTGGGGTGCAGTAACAACAGGTGCCCACTAGAGGTCACTGTAACACTTGGCGGTGATTACCCAAAAATTAATGCTTTCAAGGATTGGGGGATGGGAACACTGGGAATCTTAACTCGGGGCCTGAGGCTTGCCAGGCGGGTCCTGCTCCACTGAGCTATATTCCCTTGCTCCCGCTTACATCTCCCCTCTTAATTCACTTAAGTAGACAAATGTGGTTGTACACACTTGAGTATTGAACAGGACATTGCAACAGGCATGCAGTCAGCTGATGGTGTCTCCATCCTGCTGGGCTGCTGTCAGTGGCGCTTCATGCCCAAGCAGATAGGACATATTTCTTTGTTTTTATAATTAGATCCCCACTTTTTTTGATATAGTGAGCTTTAATTAGGAATTGACATTGTAGAGATCTAAAACATAGCCAGACTCCAGGCCTGTAGTTTTTTTCACAGTAATAGGAAAGTGTTAAAGATAAGCTTTTTTTTTTTTTTTTTTTTTTCAGAACTGGGGATTGAACTCGGGCCCTTGCACTTACCAGGCAAGCACTTACTCTACTGAACTACCTCCCAGGCCCCTAAACTTACTTTTTTTTTTTTTTAATTTTTTTTATTTATGAGAGAGAGGTGTGTGGCCAGCTCAGCCCACCAGGGGGCGGGCTGGCTGGCATGTGGTGCTGGGGGATTGAACCGTGGTCCCTGTGCTTCGCTGAACTTGTTCTAAGTAGGTGCTTTAGACCACTGAGCCATCTCTCCAGCCCCCCTAAACATTCTTGATTATATACATTCTTACGTAACATGTGTCTGGTTTTTTATTCAGGACAGGGTCTTGCTACTCAGGGCTACATAGCGATTCTCCTGTCATCCTCCCTAGCACTGGGATGACGGTTGTGTGCCGCCACACCTGGTTCTGGGGCTGTCACAGATGTACCTGGGATTGAGCCCAGGTCCTTATGCTTGCCAGGTAGGTGCTTAGACCACCAAGCTGTCTCCAGCCCCACCACTGATTTGTTTTGGAGGACAGGGTCTTGCTGTGTAACTCAGGTTGGCTTTGAGCTCAGATTGTAGCCCTGGATGGTCTCGAACTCAGAACTGTCCTCCTCCCTCAGCCTCCCTGGTGCTAGGGTGACAGGCTTGCTCCATTGTGGCTGGCCACTGGTTTAGTAGTTTTTTCCAAATGAGCTTTTGAGACTCTTGAACAGATTTTGTTGTCAGACCTACTTGATAATCTCACCAGTGTGACCAAACTGCTGTTGCCTGTGTCCAGCTTGAGGCTCTGAGAAGGGATTTCCGAGACTTGTGTGGCTGAGCCGGGGCATTTATTTGCAGTATGTCCCTTCCCTGTTAAGCTGTAGGCACTCCTAGTAGATCCCACATTGAGCAACCTGTGCTCTTGTTTGGGCACCCACAGGGGCCAGGAATGAGTTCCACGCAGCAGTCGAAACATGAGCTTCACTCTGTACTTGACATAGTGCTGCGCTCAGGCAGAGGTCCTGGGGGGCTGGCTGACTAGTCCAGACCTGTAGTCCCGGCACGGAAGGGCAGCTGAGGTGGGAGCAGCACCAGTTTGGGGCAGTGTGGACCAACATTAGCAAGACGACTTCTAGGGAAAAAGTCATTTAAAGGAATCCCCAGGGCCAGTCAGCTCCTTGCGCAGATGCTGGGACCCAGGTTCTATCTCTGGCCCTGTCTCCAGGGTGCACTGAGACGGCGTGGTGGCACGTGACAGTAACCTCAGCTCTTGGGAGGCTGAAAACAGCCTGGTCCGATCTGTGTAGTGAGGCCCTGTACACCCTGTACTAAATACAAAAAAAAGTATCTCAGCTGTTGATACACCACTTAGTACTGCTTGGAGGGGGTCCTCTGAGATAGAGAATATTCTAGTTTCCAGGGCAAAATTGCCTGAGTTGGAAGTTTTTACCCCTTTTATTTATTTGTGGTACTGGGGACTGAACTCAGGTCCTTGCGCTTGTCATTAAAGCATTTATTCTACTGAGCTGTCTCCCTGGCCCCTAAGAAATAATTTTTAGGTCTAGCAGAATTTTATTTTTAAATTTTTATTTGTGTGTGTGTGTGTGTGTGTGTGTGTGTGGCCAGCTCAGCCCACCAGGGGGCGGGGCTGGCTGGCATGTGGTGCTGGGGGATTGAACCGCGGTCCCTGTGCTTTGCTAGCTTGTTCTAAGTAGGTGCTTTAGACCACTGAGCCATCTCTCCAGCCCCTCTAGCAGAATTTTAAAACCCTCCTTCCAATAAGCACTGTCACCAGAAGTATTAAGGAAATGAGGATAAAGCCGCCGAAGTGATCTCTCCAGAACACAGGTTGCTCTGTGGCTTTTGTGCGATACCTTCCGCACAGCCCACCACAGCCATCCAGTGGGCTGGGGAGGTTCCGGGGTGCACTGACACTGAGGGGTGTCCTCATCCCTGTCGTGCAGTAGGGAAGTCTGCTGCCTGGGCTGGGCCGTCCCCTGCCGCAGCCTTAGCTGGCCCTGCAGGTGCGCGCTCATCTGCGCTTCATCCCAGTGTCAGGTGCTGGCCTCGTGTGCCCTAGAGAGCTCTTCCGGACCTGGAGTTGCGTGCACGCCTTGGAGGTTCTTCGAAATGCCTGAGTGCTTGTGGGAGCCTGAAGCAGGGATTGGAGTTAGGCGGGAACTCAGTTCTGAAGGTAGAGGCTGGGGTGGAGAGGGCCCTTGTCCCAAGTCTGGAGGACACTGGGCAAGGTGGCACGCACTGAAGGCCCAGAGCTCAGAGACTGAGGCGGGATGGTCGGTGGGCATTCACAGTCACCCTGGGCTACCTGCCTAGTCCAAGGCCTGCTTGAACTCCATAGCAGACCCGTCTCAACCAAAAGAAAACCCAGGCCATAGGGTGTGTGTGGGTGTGTGTGTGTGTGTGTGTGTGTGTGTGTGCAGTCTACACCAGCAAGTGTGTCCTATTAGGTAACTTGTAAAGCTTATCTAGAAAGTTGTGCATGCAGTTATACAGGTAGAAATCACATTAACCAGCCCGTTGACACCTTTTCACCTCTGGCTCCTGCACCTGAAGCACATGATACTTAGAGCTACAGTACACCACACACAGTTGTAGTGTTACTGGGTTTCCGAGGTTCGCAGTAGCCCAGGCTGGCCTCCACCTTCGGTGATTCTCTGCGTGCTGGGATTGCAGGTGCACACTGTTGAATCCTGGCTCGCAGGAACAGGGAGCAGCTCCTGGGGAGTGAGGACACAGGACCCTGCTCTCCTCCCTGGGACAGGCAGGCAGGAAGGGCGTGCTGCTGCCCCGCAGCTCGGCGCTGAGCTCAGCTGCTCTTTTGTGTGGGAACTGGGCCAGGCAGCCTG